ACCGTTGAAGTAGATTAGTCCGACGTTCTTACCCTAGTCCCTAGTTCTTAGGGTCTTCATCTTTGTACTTTTGTTTTCTTTGCATATGCAACCTTTTTTGCTTCTAAAAAATGTCTGTTTGTTAGCCGATGTTAACATGCCTTGCTCTTTGATTATCATTCATTCTTCCACTGTATTTGGTAGCCATGTCGGGTAATTGACTTCTTGGATGGCCCTGGGCTCCAGAAGTCTGTCTACTTCTTCTTCTACTTCTTCGACGTGCATCACCGTCGGTCCTCTTGCTCATTGGATTACAGGTTTGGCCGACCTGTCGACGTTCAGTTGGTGGCAAGTGACCTCGGGGTCAATGCCAGGCATTTCGTAAGGTGTCCAAGCAAATACCTCAATGTTTGTTCTCAAAAAAGCGTCAAATTCCCTTTCTTCTTCTTCGACTAAGCCTGAGCCGAGAAGAAAGAAGCGTTCTTCATCCCCTTCCTGGACAAGGATTTTCCTCAGTGCCTCTTTACTCTTCTCGGCTGGCTCCTTGCCAACATCATCTAGGACCCCTATGTCCTTGTTTTCAATTTCTACCTTCTCTGGTTTTCGAATACTTCAGGTGGATTTTATTGCTGCCATGGAGTAATTCTCCGCCTGCAGTTGATCCCCTCTGACTTCTTCAATCCCATGTTCTGTTGGGAACCGCAGTAGTTGGTGCAATGTTGAGGGAACTGCCCCCATTGCATGCAACCATGGCCTTCCCAAGACGATATTGTCTGGCGAGGGTGTGTCAATTACCATGAATTCTGTCTTGATGTTCTTCTAACTACTCTCGCATGATTCTATACTTAGAATATTTTGCATATCTTATGTACTTTTCCTTCTTTGTGCAATCTTCTCGGGGTGACACACCTCGATTAAGCCACCTGACGTTTTACTTCGGTAAGTACTTGTCCTGTAAATTGCTTACAAATTTCAACAAGGATAAACATATACTAGTTTAATCTCAACTTTGTAAACTTTTCTTAGGTTATAACAAGTGCTAAACAATGATTGCTATAAATTTCCACAAGTGTTAAAACAATATATATCGGCTTAATTTCAACTTGTAAATTGTTACAAATTTCAACAAGTGAAGATAAACAATGATCTCGGCTTAACTTCAACTTGTAAATTGCTACAAATTTCAACAAGTGAAGATAAACAATGATCTCGGCTTAACTTCAACTTGTAAATTGCTACAAATTTCAACAAGCGGTAAACATCATATTGGTTTAACCAACTTGTAAATTGCTACAAATTTCAACAAGCGTTAAGCATCATCTCAGTTTAACCAACTTGTAAATTGCTACAAATTTCAACAAGCGGTAAATATCATATCGGTTTAACCAACTTGTAAATTGCCACAAATTTCAACAAGCGGTAAACACCATATCGGTTTAACCAACTTGTAAATTGCTACAAATTTCAACAAGTGGTAACAGATTCTTCTTCTCTCTGTCCCCTCAGTATGAACTTAAAATCCACTTGGGTTCTCATCATACATGAAGCTTCGACCTTGTCACCGAGGTTGAATTCAAGCCGAGGTTGTCGGCCTTGGTTTTCCTATTGATCTTACTTGGCTCCAACCTGAGTTTGATTTTCGGCCTCGCATCGACGAGCCGTTTCTCTTTTCTTATTCCGACGCCTTTGTTCCCGACATGTCCTTCTCGGCCCTAGCATACTTCTCAATTCTGGCCAACTTTAGTCTGATCTTGTGTGTTTCCTTTTTATCTTCTGGGATCTGAGATCTGCTCATTGTGCTCTTCTCTTCTCGGACTCAGGTGTCGAGATCTTATCTTCTGGAATCTTGGATCTGCTCACTCAGGTTGAGCTCTTCTTTTCTCGGACCTACTCATCTAGGCCGAGATCATGTCTTCTAGGATCTGGGATCCGGGATTTGCTCACTCAAGTTGAGCTCTTCTATACTTGAATGTTATCTCCTTGGGAGCGCTCATGCCCCATGTCTTTGCATCCCTTCTAGAAAGGTCTTCATTCCTCCGCAGGTATCTATCCTTCCATACTTGGAGGTCATCTTCGTTGTAGTATCCGCTTCGATCTGTTGTCTTTGGTGCGTCACCTTCCTGGCCGGCGTCTTTCACTTTGTGACTCTGGTCACAAGTTTCTGTGTTGCGGTCGTCCCCTTCAACGTCAAGATCGATAGGTCTCCGACTCCCAGCAGGAGCGTTGTCTCTAATTTGAGCCTTCTGTCCGTCATTGGCCATATATTATTCTTTCTTTCCCACAGACGGCGCCAAATTGTGTGAGTGATTTTCTGATCACACTGCCCGCTTAGTAACCAGTTGGAGAGCATCGGCAGAATAGATGGCACCTGGCTGACCTGCAACAGAAAGAGAAGATTCCGGCGGTGGTTCGTCCACCCGGGGGCACTCCGACGATCAAGTCAGTATATCTCTCAAAGATAAATCAAGTGCTAAACTCACAAGCTTGAGTATCAAAAGCATACCTTAGACCCATGGGGGTGCCTCTCTTTTATAGCCAACATAAACCTAGTCCCAATAGAAGCCTAACTTCTATGGACTCAGGATTACTGCTAATCTTGAACTCCCAGTAAGATTAGGATAAACTCTCTAAGAGTCTTATCTTAATACAAACTGAAGTCTTCTCTCATTCTAGGACTCTTGTTCTTTATCCAGGTTGAGTTTTCTTTTCATTCTAGGACTCTTGTCCCTTATCCACTTATCTTGGATTTCGATATCTTCGGAGATAACCTCGGCCTTGCCGAGATCACCTCGGCGTCACGACTAGGACACGTGGCACCTCGGCTGACACGTCGGCATCACCTTGCCACGTGTTGGTACTCAGAAAATATATCCCCACAGATAGTGATTGAAAAGATGAGAGGAACGAGTTGTAATGGTTGTGGGATGTGGGAAGGGTTAGTGGGTGTTGCCGTGGAGTTGATAGGAATGTAGCAATAAGTAATGGTGGTAAAATGTGGTAGAATGTCTGTGGTAGTAGAGTGGTAGTGATGGTTGATAGGGAGTACTGGTGGTGAGGTGTTGCTAAGTGAGGAAAGAGAGAGGAAGAAGAACCAAGGAAAAAGAAAGGAAGAGAAAAGAAGAAAAAAAAAAATGGGGCAAATGTACCCCTAAAAAAAAAAAAAAAATCCTATTTTTGCAAATTTTTCCAACTGTCCACCTTAATGTAATTAAAATTGATTTTCCATTTTTTAATAAATTTTCATATTTTAATCCTTTTGTAGTTTTTTCAAATTTAAAATAGCTTTGTTTAGATCTTGAATAAGGCCGAGAATTTATCTTGATTGCCCGACTTGCTTCTTGTAAATAACGAGTGAGATTTAGTTATCCCATCTCGTTTTAATTTATTGCGATTCAATTATTTTATTTTAATATATTTTTTTGAATTTTTTTTTAATTCTGGGATAATTTTGAAAAATAATTACAAATAAGTGATAAAATATATAAATATTAATAATTAAAAACAAATTTTTTTTCATGTATTTGTCATAAAATTTTGAAACCACCAACTGATTTTTTTTAAGAAAAATTTATTTATAAATCCCATTTTGAGGAATGATGATTCATTTAGTCCTAAGAATTTTTTTTATAAATCAATTAGTCCCATTGATTTTAGAAAGGTAGATTTAATATATTATTCGAAAATTAGATTTACAGTCATACACTTATTTTCATACACTTATTTCTATTATTATTATTATTTTTTTTAATGTTAGATAGAAAGATAAGGTACACAATCTTTGAGAATCAAATTTGAAATGAATTTTTATATAAGATTTTTTTTTATTTAGAATTTTTTTTTAAAAAGAGTATAAAAATGACTTGAAATATAGAGCTTTTCAAATATTTCACAAGGATGTGAGATTCTTTAAATATTTCAAAATGAGTGCAAAATCTCCTTCGTAAGCTTTAAACAAATGTATAATTTCAAAATGTAACAATCTAATTTAACACTTAAACATAATACTCTAATGTAACACTCTAAAAAAAATCTTTAATGTACTTTTCTCAAATATACCATTGCAAAAAAACTCTTTAGTCTTATACTCTAATGTAACACACAAAAAAACTCCTTAGTATACTTTTTTTAAACATAACATTCTAATATAACACTTCAAAAAAATTCCTTAGTGTAATACTCTAATGTAACATACAAAAACAAATTACTTAGTGTACTTTTACTATATATAATATTCCAAAAAAACTCCTTAGTATAATGCTTTAATGTAACATATAAAAAATTTCTTAGTGTACTTTTCTCAAACATAACACTCCAATGTAATACTCCAAAAAAAGGATGTAAGATTTTTCAAAATATTTTAAAAGGAGTACAAAAATTTCTTAGTAAATTTCGGACAAATTTATAATTTCAAACTCTGAGTTTTACGTTTAGAAAAAGTACACTAAGAAATTTTTATTATTTTTGTGTGTTATATTGAAGTATGTTACATTAGAGTGTTACGTTTGAGATTACATTGATTGGATTGCTATGTTTGGAAAATGTATACTAAGGAGTTTTTAGTGTTTTTGTGTGTGTACATTATAGTACGTTACATTGGAATATTACATTTGGGATTACATTGATTAGAGTGTTACATTTGGTAAAAATACACTAAGGAGTTTTTTTATATTTATTTTTTTTATTTTTTTGGTTGTATTACATCGAAGTGTTACGTTTAGGAAAAGTACACTAAATTTTTTTTCAAGTGTTATATTTGAAAAAAATACATTAAGGAGTTATTTTATTTTATTTCATTGGACTATTACATTTGAAAAAAGTACATTAAAGAGTTTTTTGTTTTTTAGTATTACATTAGAGTGTTACGTTTAGAAAAAATACATTAAGGAGTTTTGTTTTAGTGTTACGTTGTTGCATTTAGGAAAAGTACACCAAGGAGTTTTTTAGTGTGTTACATTAGAGTGTTTGTAACGCCTCGAAAACAAATAAAATAACCCATCCACAACATTAATAAATAACAACAATGATAAAGTACTTATCTTTCATCACTTTCCAAGTAAGTTTACAAAAGAGTAACATATGCACATATGCATTCACAAGCCTATCCCTGAATCTATAGCATATGTTACATAATAAAATGAACATCAAGCAAATAATAAATACCCTAAAGGTTTATAACTTTTCAAGACGATTCTTGGTTACAAAAAAAGTAGATTTATATCCAATACAGCTAAAGGCCCTTGGCCTGTACAAAACATATGCAACAATCAAACAAAACGAAGCCCTTGCTCCAAGTCCTACTAAGCTATTGCCTTGGCGGAGGTATATCATCAACACCTGAAAATATTTTTCCCACATAAGGTGAGTCAAAACTCAGTAGAAATAATCTAACACAGTGTATGAATCTTAACAAAAATACAGGGTGACATGACCATAATGCTCATGCCAAAACATTGTATATCTCCTTCCATAAACCATGTAATGCCAGGTTAGTATCATAATTCATAAATCATTTCTTTTACAATAGAAAATAAGGCAGTGAATCACACTATGAGAATTTCAATACAAATACAACATTTCACGAAAATTTCGTCCGCGAGAAACCGTAAACCAACACCCATGTAAACGTAGGCTATACAAGTACAACTATTACTTTTTCACAGAAAATTTGTCCGTGGAATCGGCACCTATGTATATGCGCAGTTTTTAAGACTTTCACCACGGACACTCAGGCTAACTTATTTCAATGAGACAATACGTATTTCCCATATTTACCCATTTTTTTGAAATAATAAACATTTTCAATGTATATGTATGAAATAATGCTCAATACAAATGAATGAAAAAATAATTTCAATTCTCCTAATTTTCATGCACTTCTACAACGATCATAACTATTCTCAACCGATTGTCCAAAGCTGATATTTCTAAAAAGCCAAACAATTTTCAATGAAGATAAACTTTCCCTAATTTCAAAAGGTGAGTGATAATACCTATCCAACTCCACCATCCTCATCAATAACAACTCAATTCCACGTTTCCAACATCAAACTCATTATTTACATAAAATCAATATTTGAAACATTTAGGACAAAATCTTTTTTCCTTCCAAAATCAATCTCAAGTAACAAAATCGACAATCATACCTATTCTTCACCGATAGCCCAAAACCCAATTTCACGGCACCATTTTTAGATACCCGTGCTTCATAGGAGGCCATACTCCATCGAGACAAAAGAATACAAGCCCATCACGGTTAAAGTACGCATGCCTTTCGGTTACTTAAAAAAATGACAAGAAAGGGCATAACAGCCACAAACAAATCAAACAAAAACCACAAAGTAAACAAGCTTAAGTAATTCTTTCCACCAATACAAAACAAATTCCGCATCCTAAATTGAAGCTTAAAGACAAAAAGAAATGGTAAAACATTCACTGAAACCATAAAAAACACCGCTTTGGAACAATAATTTACAAATACCACCAAATTGCCACTAGATAAAAAACCTCAGTTTCATCGATCGTTACTTACCATAATTTTCTTTTTAAATGCAATAAAAATAACAAACTTAAGTATTCCAGCAATGCAGAGGTTGATTGAATCAAAAGTTGAACAACATAAACCATACAACCAAATAATCATTTTTGTTACTATTTTGAACAAACTACACCCCCACAAAATAGTTTGTTATTGTTAAAATTGTTCAAATTTTGAATTGATCATTTTGAATATCAAATTAGGCTTCTAATAACAGGTTACTGATTTGTTCAATCATCACCGATTGGATTACATGAACCGAAATTATAAACTTTTGGAACTAAAATCATGAAATTGATAGTTTAAGGATCAAGCAGAAAAAAATGGTAGTAGTTTAAAGGGAAATTAAGCCTACATTATAGACACACCTACACAAATGGACCAGCCATGGAAGTAAAGTAGCACAAAGTCATAATCAATAATATGCAACTCTCAAGTTACAGACTCTATTTACTTCCAGACCCAGTTAAAGAACATGACATTCTTAAAATTGAGTTCATAAAATTTAAATACCGTTTATTGGAACGAATTGTCACTTTACTTCTTAAAACATACATTTTCAACTATGAAAATTTTCAAAATATAAGATGATTTTGTAACAAGTTATTTGATTGGAAAAATATATTACTTAAGGTTTTGACAATGAGACTATCATATATGTTTTTATATATACTACAAAAAGTGGTGATTATATTTTTGTTCTCAATTATATTGACTGACAAAGAATGTTATTTGAATATCAAATTAGGCTTCTAATAACAGGTTACTGATTTGTTCAATCATCACCGATTGGATTACATGAACCGAAATTATAAACTTTTGGAACTAAAATCATGAAATTGATAGTTTAAGGATCAAGCAGAAAAAAATGGTAGTAGTTTAAAGGGAAATTAAGCCTACATTATAGACACACGTACACAAATGGACCAGCCATGGAAGTAAAGTAGCACAAAGTCATAATCAATAATATGCAACTCTCAAGTTACAGACTCAATTTACTTCCAGACCCAGTTAAAGTACATGACATTCTTAAAATTGAGTTCATAAAATTTAATACCGTTTGTTTATTGGAACGGATTGTCATTTTACTTCTTAAAACATACATTTTCAACTATGAAAATTTTCAAAATATAAGATGATTTTGTAACAAGTTATTTGATTGGAAAAATATATTACTAAAGGTTTTGACGATGAGACTATCATATATGTTTTTATATATACTACAAAAAGTGGTGATTATATTTTTGTTCTCAATTATATTGACAAAGAATGTTAGAATAATAGTAATATTATTCAGTTTTTTGTGCACGTACAACTCAAAATTTAAAACTTCTATAGCAATTTTTTCCGATGAAAAGTTACGTGTATTTGTTTCCCCAAAGTTCGAATCCTTGGATCCGTCCTGAATGCACCAGTCATGGAAACTAATGTAACACAAAGTCATAATCAATAATATGCAACTCTCAAGTTACAGACTCAACTCAATTTACTTCCATACCTAGTTAAAAGTACTTGATTGGTCAATGCTACCAAACTTTCACTGAAAGCAACAACAATATGTCAAATTCACAAAAACGAACAGCTAAAACACATCTCTACTCTCAGATCAATCAACATATACTACTTAAATCCCTAAATCAAAAACACAGAGTGGGATTAGAAAAACCGAACCTGAAAAACATGTGGAGAGGTCAAGAAGAAGCACGCTTGCCCTCGCAGTCCGGACTCTCGCCGAAGTTGTTGGAGGGGTACTTAGCGGAGACCATACCGACCTCGAAGACCAAATCATCGCCGCTGGATTTGATTCCGGTGATGGACCACCACTGGAAGAAAGCCCTAACCCTAATACCGTTTATGTCGGCCATGCGGCCGGCGACGATCTTGCCGGTGATGTGCTTGGAGTAGGTGGCGAGGTAGTTGTCAGGAGGGAGGGTGATCTTGCAGTTGTCGCCGAGGTGGACGGCGAAGTCGCCGGAGGTGGTGTTGATGGTGTAGCCGACGACGTTGGTGGGGAGGAGGCCGACGGGGAAGCCGTAGTTGGTGAGCTCCGCGTGGGCGGTTAGCGGTGGCGACTTTGACGATGAGTTAGAGTTAGAGTTAGAGTTAGGGTTTGAAGAGGAGAGAGGGAAGATGAAGAGGAGAGAGAGAGAAAGGATGAGGAAAGGTTTAGCCATGGTCTGCGCAGCGTGTACTCAGAGAGGTGGAACTTGGAAGAGAGAGAGAGAGGGAGAGAGAGAGAGAGAATAGTAATCGGGTAAACGTTGGTTGGGGGGAATATGAAGGAGACAATTACTCGTTTTATATTATTTTATTTATTTTAATGAGCTAATTAATATGATAAGGCCTTATTTGTTATGATTTTAAAAAAAATTTGAAAAGTCATCATTTTATTTAAATCATATCATCTTATTTAAGTTACATTACTTCTCTATCATATCATTTCAACCCAACTCATATTTTATAAAAAATCAAAAAATACACTTATTTAGATCATATCAAATCACCTTAACAAAATTTCTATAAGCTAGTAATATTTGAAAAATATTGAAAGACTTTTTATGATTCGTTTTGGATGTGAGTTGACTTTTTGCCTATTTTAACTTAGAATTAAGAAGTCTCGTTTGAAACAGATTTTTTGACTTTTTTAATTTTTGTAAGAAAAAAATAAAATGATTATAGATTAGATGTGACATTCTATTCTATCTAACTAAAATAACCTATTTTATCGTATATGATTATTTTAGTCTAAATACTCATCCCAAACCAAGGCTATTTTAGTTTATATGTATAAATATATAAAATAAATAATAACGTTGGAGTACATAAAAAAAATTATTAAATAAAATAAAAAATACATATTTTTAAAATATAGCTAATCAAAAATAAAGAATAGCATTAAAATTGTTCTAACGAGGAAGTCGTGTTGTTTGTCTATGAATCCATAAAAGTTTGCTAAAAATCTAGGAAACAACGTGCTGTGAAGCGTGGACTAGCGTGGGCTTTGAATAATTGAATTAAATTGTGTCATAATTAATTAAAGAAAATTCAATTTTCATAAATAGAAGGCATGGCCCGCTGGCATGGTGGGTTTGGATTTTAGGTCTAATTTATTATGGGGTCAATTATTTGGTTGGGGCTTTAGTATCATTTAGGAATAAATTATTTTATTAATTTTTTAAATTTTTTAATAAAAAGATATGTAAAAAAATAAAGAAAGTGTTGTGACAATTTATAATGATTTTTTGACTAAAATATATAGTTGCCAAACGAACAAAATTTTTATTGGACTATAAATTTCATATATGTTGAACTGTTGTATGTTAGGGGATGTGAGATAGAAATAGTAGAATTCTATGGGGATTAAGTTATAAAATAACACATTTGCCCTCTATTTGATTTCATATATTGTATTTGGTAAAGGAAAATTTATCCGAAAGTCCCATCTCAAAATCTTGCATACTCATAAGTCATTTTTTTCGGTTAGGGGGTTGGCTTCCCTCTAGTCTGTGATTGAATTGGAGGGTACTATTAGGCCCGTGAGGGCCCACCACGAGTCATGTTTTAATAATCTGAACCGTTCAATGTGTAGAACACGTCGAGTACTACATGCTTGTAAAAAATATGTTGATCGGATATTGATAGCTACGTGATCAAATCAATTTTGTATAAAAAAAAAAAGATGAAAAAATAAACGGTTGACAGAAATCTGATTCGATGAGATAGCTATCAATATCTGATCAACGCGATTTTTTATAAATGCATAGTACTCGACGAATTCTACACATTGAATGGTTCAGATTATCAAAACAAGATCCGTGGTGGACCGCTACGGGCCCAACAGTACCCTTCAGTCTTGTGACGCCCCAAAATAAATACAATGTACCCATCTCCTAACAACAAATAAATAGCAACATAACTAAAATGATAAGCCTTCATTAATCAGAGTTTAATATACAAAATGTGACACATACGATATATATTCATAAATAGTACATCCTGAATCTACAATATGTGTTAGAAGATAGTGAAAGGAAATGAAAGCTAAACAGATAACCATATGCCATACTGGCTTACATCTTTCCAAGTCAATGTTTGGGTACATTAAAAGTGAGTCTTAAACTCAATACAAATAAAGTCCTAGGCTTGTACAAAAATTAAATACAAAATAATAACAATGAGTCTTCAGCTCCATAGTCTTCCCAGGCTAAGTCCTTGGTAGAGACATATTATCAGCACCTGAAATGTTTTTCCCACATAGGGTGAGCCAAAGCCAAGTAGAAGTAATCTAATACAATATATGAATCTTAACAACGCTACAAGGTGAATTCATATGCAATGCTCGTGTCAAAATATTTTTATATCTGTTTCCAAAACCATGCAATGCCATAATAATGTCATGGCTCATAAATCATTTCATTTATAACAGATAATAGGACAGTGAATCACACTCTAAGAATTTCAAATAATACAATCTTTCTTGAAAATTTTGTTCGGCGGAAACCATAAATCGGGACCTATGTAAATGTAGGCTATACAACAATAAACTAGAATTCACACTTTTCGAATTTAGCATACAATTTGTGGGCTCTAAGCAACTCAACCACAACTTGCAGGAGTTCTTCGTGTTCTTCCTTGGAGGGTGAGTAAATTAAGATGTCGTTGATGAAGACAACTACAAAACGGTCTAAAAATTCAAGAAAGGTCTGATTCATCAAATCCATAAACATGACTGGTGTGTTGGTTAGCCCAAAAGGCATCACTAGGAATTCATAATGGTCATACCGCATACGAAATGTCATCTTTTGGATATTTTCCTCCCTTACCCTCAACTGGTGAAAACCTGATCTCAGGTCTATCTTAGAAAAATAACAAGTCTCTTTCAACTGATCAAACAAATCATCTATTTGTGGCATTGGGTATTTGTTCTTAACAGTTACTCGGTTCAACTTTCGGTAATCAATACAAAGTCATAATGCACCATTTTTATTCTTTTCAAAGAGAGCCCGTGCTCCCAAGACGAAGTACTAGGGCGAATAAAACCCTTATCTAGAAATTCTTGGAGTTGAATCTTCAACTCACTCAAATCGACGAGTGCAAACCTATATGGTGCCACAGAAATCGGTGTCGTGCCAAGCATTAAGTCAATAGAGAACTCAATCTCGTGATGAGGTGGTAAACTAGTGAGATCCTCAGGAAAAACATCCGAGTATTCACAACCTACCCTTGTCAAATCAACTCGGACTTCGTCACACTCACTGTCAAATAAGTTTGCAAGAAGATAACTAAACTCACTCCACCTTCGCGGATCACACACTAGAGATAAAGCTCTATCGGCTCTATCTCCCATGAAATAAACACAATCATCGCTCAAGATATATATAGTAACCCTCTAACAGTAAAAATCTATGACAGCCCAATACGATGGCAACCAGTCCATACTGAATATAGCATTAAAACTCGACATGCCAATTAACACAAATGCAAAAGGAAGTCGGCGGCTAGCAACCTCTATCTTACAACCTTGACACACCTATTCCAAAACAATCTCACCACCAACATGTGACTCTACATTGAGTGGAGATGCTAACCGAGCTAATTCTAACCCCAATGCCAATGCAAATGCAGATGAGATGAATGAATGGGATGCACCTGTATCAATTAACACATTGGCAATAGAATTGCATAACAAGAAAGTACGTCTCACAACTGAAGGTGCTGGCACTAAGTCTGGCGTGGTAACAGCAAACACACGCCCTGTAGGTCTCTGCTCGACCTGCTCACCTCTTGGAACATAAGTCTGATGCACTGATTGAATCCGAGATGCTCCCAGATTGGCTCTCAAGGCCTGTGATGATTGTGTAGGTTGGTGGCTCTGTGCCTACCTCGAACCAGACATACCAGATGTGCCACCTAACTGAGGGCAAAACCTCTTTATATGCCCTGATTGCCCACACTGGTAACAAGTAGGCAGATGCCCTCTTTTCTCTGAGAATGAGCCGCATGCGGTGCAGACTATTGTCCTCTTCCTCTCTACGGGCAAATTGGAGACTTGTGATCCAATTGGCCACACTTTTAACAAGAGAAACCTCCTGGATTACCTCTCCCCGAACACGAACTTGGCACAGGAAAGATGGACCTAGACTGTACTTCCTAGGACCGCTGTGGGGTGGGACCCCTCTGCCTCTTACTGTCCTGACTTTCTCCCTAAACCTCTTGACTCCTCCTGGAGCCCCTCATCCGTTCTTCCTCTACTTGAACTACGATCTCAAGTTGAGCCGCCACCTCTACAAGGCGTCCGTAGTCCTTAATCATCGACCCAACTACCTTGAAAAGAAGCCCGGTCCTCAACATCTTCTTGAACTCAATACAATGATGTTTCTCTATCGCCACAAGTTTTGGTGCAAATCTAGAGAAGCTTGTGAAAGCTGCCTCAAACTCGGCTACTGGTAAGCTAAGCTGCTTGAGCATCAGGAACTAATCTCTCAACTTCTCCTTAGCAGTGGGAGGTAAGAACTTGTCTTGGAAGGTATTGACAAAAGCCTCCCAAGTCACTCTAATGCGCCCACGTGCATACTTTTACTATTGACCCGCATCTCCCTTTAGCTGGAAGGATGCTAAGGTCACCCTCAATCTATCGCTTTCGATGCCAAGCATCTCTAATGTCTTCACTATCTGTTCGAGCCACTCATCCGCTATCAAAGGCTTTTTAGGATCACCCAAAAACTCGTCCAGATTAGAGCGGAAGAACTCTCTCTTCAAGAAAGACGACCATGCTTCAACAACTTGGGCCTAGACTTGATTCTCAGCCTTGAGAATGTCCATAGATTCCCGAAAAGCTCCGACCATCTCATGGGCCAAAGCGCCCATGGCCTGTTGGCCAACTGGTTCGACCACATTGGCCTGACTAACCCCTTCCTCTTACGCCGGAATTTCATCATGTACACCTCATGCCTTCGAGGCCTACCACGCCTATCACCACCACGTCCACATCCTGACATCCTAATGAACGTAACAGAAGAGATTAACACATTTACAAATGTACCGAAGCTAACTGACCCGCATCTTAATGCGGTGGAGAACAATAATTCACTCTACATAAGCACGTAGTCACATAAACACATACAAATTTCTTTCCTAGATAATGACCGTCCCGCGACATTGCTAGAATTCCAATTAGAAATAGCAGTGATAGAGTGCTCTTCTAACAGGACTTCTAGAAACCTGTAGACCCAATCAATATCTTAAGAACTAAATCTCATATCTATATAACCACTTAATCATGTTATCAAACAAGTATACCATACATATAAATATCTCAATCAAGCAAGACAAACCCATTGTGGTAATAACCATTTCCTATGTTCCCAAAATATTCAAACTCGGTACGCTCTGATACCAAGTTATGATGCCTCAAAATAAACACAATGTACCCATCTTCTAACAACTAATAAATAGCAACATAACTGAAATGATAAGCCTTCACTAATCAGAGTTTGATATACAAAATGTGACACATGCGATATATATTCATAAACAGTATATCTTAAATATACAACATGTGTTACAAGATAGTGAGATGAAATGAAAGCTAAACAGATAACCATATGCCCTAATAGCTTACATCTTTCAAAGTCAATGCTTGGGTACATCAAAAGTGAGTCTTAAGCTCAATACAAATAAAGTCATAGGCTTGCACAAAAATTAAATACAAAATAACAACAATGAGCCATCAGTTCCACAGTCTTCCCAAGCTAAGTCCTTGGTAGAGGCATATCATCAGCACCTAAAATGTTTTTCCCACATAGGGTGAACCAAAGCCCAGTAGAAGTAAGCCAACACAGTGTATAAATCTTAACAACGCTATGAGGTGGATTCATATGCAATGCTCATGCCAAAACATTTTTATCTCTTTCCAAAACTATACAATGCCATAATAATGTCATGGCTCATAAATCATTTCATTTACAACAGATGATAGGACAGTGAATCACACTCTAGGAATTTCAAACAATACAACCTTTCCCAAAAATTTCGTCCGGAGGAAACCGTAAACTAGGACCCATGTAAACATAGGCTATACAAGTACTGCTTTTGCCATTTCACGGGAATTTCGTCCGCGGGATCGGCACCCATGTATATGTGCAGTTTTCGGGACTTTCACTTTGGACACACAGGCTAACTTAACTTTGGTGTTTCACACCTTCTTCCCAAGTCCACCTATTTTTTCTCAAATCATATACATTTTCAATGTATTAATCAATATGCAACTATGCTCAATACAAAATGGATGAGAATTTAATTTTAACTCACCTAATCCTCATGCAACTTCTACAACAATCATACATATCCTCCACCGATAGCTCAAAACAAATATCTCTAACAAATAAATAAATTTCCATTAAAGGTACATTTTTTTCAAAATCTCAAATGGTAGTGATAATGCATATCCAACTCCACCCTTATCATTATCATTATTTCAATTTCATAATTTCCAATATCAATTCCATTTTCTCTTTAAAAATCTTAACACTTACATGTTAGGGCAAAACCATTTTCTCTTCAAAAATCCAATTCAATGCTAGAAATACCTTATTTCAACCCCCAAATTTATGATCACAACCTTTTTCAAGAAACCATTTGAAAACCCCTTTTTTACATTTTGGATTTCAAACCCTAGGTTTTTACCAAAAACCCCAAATTACCATAATTTTTCGAAATAACAAATAGCAAGTGCAAAACCCATACTAAAGTATGGAGAATCCCTATCTCGAAGCTAGAAGATCAAGGAGAGAGTGGAGAAACCTCAAAGAAGTCGAAATCTACTTTTGTTTGGATGAAAAGAGAGCCTATGGAGTGTTCTACCTTTTTAACAAAGGGAGTAGGGTGAAGAAATCACTAGATCTTGGTATTTTTGTAGAGAAAAGGTAAGTTTTAGAGAGAGAGACAGAGAGAGAGTGTGTGTGTGTCTAAACCTAGGGTTTTTGGAATGTTGAAAGAGAGAGTGAAATGAAAAAGTGACCTAAAAAGGTGGTTCTGTGATCTGATATACGCACAGTTTGCTCGAGCGCAAGATGTGTCGCTCGAGCGACCAGACACAATAAGTTTACCGCTTAAGCGCAAGAAGCTTAGCTCAAGCGCAGAATACAAACTACTAGTAGTTTTACAGACAGAGGTCGTCGTTTGAGCAAAGAATACAAACTCCCAGTATTTTTGCAAACCTACAAAAGTATTGGAGGTTCACAAAGACCGCTCTAGTGCAGGAAGTGTCGCTCGAGTGAAGAAACAAAAATCTGGGTAACAAAAGTTTGAAAGACAAGCTACCAAACTGTTCCAAACGCAATCAACACATTTCAAAAGCCAAACTCAAAGAAATATAAGGGGAAATAGGACATGGATAACTATTTATGACAATTAAACCTAGATCCAAAACATCAAATGGGTCAAGTCCAAGCTAGGATCGCTATAAGTCCGATCATGGACTAGTGGGAAACCCAGTCCTTTATTTATTTATTTCGAAAACAAATAAAATAACCCATCCACAACATTAATAAATAACAACAATGATAAAGTACTTATCTTTCATCACTTTCCAAGTAAGTTTACAAAAGAGTAACATATGCAGATATGCATTCACAAGCCTATCCCTGAATCTATAGCATATGTTACATAATAAAATGAACATCAAGCAAATAATAAATACCCTAAAGGTTTATAACTTTTCAAGATGATTATTGGTTACAAAAAAAGTAGATTTATATCCAATACAGCTAAAGGCCCTTGGCCTGTACAAAACATATACAACAATCAAACAAAACGAAGCCCTTGCTCCAAGTCCTACCAAGCTATTGCCTTGGCGGAGGTATATCATCAACACCTGAAAATATTTTTCCCACATAAGGTGAGTCAAAACTCAGTAGAAATAATTTAACATAGTGTATGAATCTTAACAAAAATATAGGGTGACATGATCATAATGCTCATGCCAAAACATTGTATATCTCCTTCCATAAACCATGTAATGCCAGGTTAGTATCATAATTCATAAATCATTTCTTTTGCAATAGAAAATAGGGCAGTGAATCACACTATGAGAATTTCAATACAAATACAACATTTCACGAAAATTTCGTCCGTGAGAAACCGTAAACCGACACCCATGTAAACGTAGGCTATACAAGTACAACTATTACTTTTTCACAGAAAATTCGTCCGTGGAATCGGCACCCATGTATATGCGCAGTTTTTAAGACTTTCACCACGGACACTCAGGCTAACTTATTTCAATGAGACAATATGTATTTCCCATATTCACCCATTTTTTTAAAACTATAAACATTTTCAATGTATATGTATGAAATAATGCTCAATACAAATGAATGAAAAAATAGTTTCAATTCTCCTAATTTTCATGCACTTCTACAACGATCATAACTATTCTCGACCGATTGTCCAAAACTGATATTTCTAAAAAGCCAAACAATTTTCAATGAAGATAAACTTTCCCTAATTTCAAAAGGTGAGTAATAATACCTATTCAACTCCACCATCCTCATCAATAACAACTCAATTCCACATTTCCAACATCAAACTCATTATTTACATAAAATTAACATTTGAGACATTTAGGGCAAAATCTTTTTTCTTTCCAAAATCAATCTCGAGTAACAAAATCGACAATCATAACTATTCTTTACCAATAGCCCAAAACCCAATTTCACGGCACCATTTTTAGATACCCGTGCTTCATAGGAGGCCATACTCCATCGAGACAAAAGAATACAAACCCATCACGGTTAAAGTACGCATGCCTTTCGGTTACTTAAAAAATGACAAGAAAGGGCATAACAGCCACAAACAAATCAAACAAAAAACCACAAAGTAAACAAGCTTAAGTAATTCTTTCCACCAATACAAAACAAATTCCGCATCCTAAATTGAAGCTTAAAGACAAAAAGAAATGGTAAAACATTCACTGAAACCATAAAAAACACCGCTTTGGAACAATAATTTACAAATACCACCAAATTGTCAGTGGCAACATTGTGTGTGCCCTATTAATCCAGACTGTCCACTAGATAAAAAACCTCAGTTTCATCGATCGTTACTTTCCATAATTTTCTTTTTAAATGCAATAAAAATAACAAACTTAAGTATTCCAGCAATGCAGAGGTTGATTGAATCAAAAGTTGAACAACATAAACCATACAACCAAATAATCATTTTTGTTACTATTTTGAACAAACTACACCCCACAAAATAGTTTGTTATTGTTAAAATTGTTCAAATTTTGAATTGATCATTTTGAATATCAAATTAGGCTTCTAATAACAGGTTACTGATTTGTTCAATCATCACCGATTGGATTACATGAACCGAAATTATAAACTTTTGGAACTAAAATCATGAAATTGATAGTTTAAGGATCAAGCAGAAAAAAATGGTAGTAGTTTAAAGGGAAATTAAGCCTACATTATAGACACACGTACACAAATGGACCAGCCATGGAAGTAAAGTAGCACAAAGTCATAATCAATAATATGCAACTCTCAAGTTACAGACTCAATTTACTTCCAGACCCAGTTAAAGTACATGATATTCTTAAAATTGAGTTCATAAAATTTAATACCGTTTATTGGAACGAATTGTCATTTTACTTCTTAAAACGTACATTTTCAACTATGAAAATTTTCAAAATATAAGATGATTTTGTAACAAGTTATTTGATTGGAGAAATATATTACTTAAGGTTTTGACGATGAGACTATCATATATGTTTTTATATATACTACAAAAAGTGGTGATTATATTTTTGTTCTCAATTATATTGACAAAGAATGTTAGAATAATAGTAATATTATTCAGTTTTTTGTGCACGTATAACTCAAAATTTAAAACTTCTATAGCAATTTTTTCCGATGAAAAGTTACGTGTATTTGTTCCCCTAAAGTTCGAATCCTTGGATCCGTCCTGAATGCACCAGTCATGGAAACTGATGTAGCACAAAGTCATAATCAATAATATGCAACTCTCAAGTTACAGACTCAACTCAATTTACTTCCATACCTAGTTAAAAGTACTTGATTGGTCATGCTACCAAACTTTCACTGAAAGCAACAACAATATGTCAAATTCACAAAAACGAACAGCTAAAACACATCTCTACTCTCAGATCAATCAACATATACTACTTAAATCCCTAAGGTCATGTTTGATTCACAATCTCAAGTTACAGACTCAACTCAATTTACTTCCATACCTAGTTAAAAGTACTTGATTGGTCAATGCTACCAAACTTTCACTGAAAGCAACAACAATATGTCAAATTCACAAAAACGAACAGCTAAAACACATCTCTACTCTCAGATCAATCAACATTTACTACTTAAATCCCTAAATCAAAAACACAGAGTGGGATTAGAAAAACTGAACCTGAAAAACATGTGGAGAGGTCAAGAAGAAGCACGCTTGCCCTCGCAGTCGGGACTCTCGCCGAAGTTGTTGGAGGGGTACTTAGCGGAGACCATACCGACCTCGAAGATCAAATCATCGCCGCTGGATTTGATTCCGGTGATGGACCACCACTGGAAGAAAGCCCTAACCCTAATACCGTTTATGTCGGCCATGCGGCCGGCGACGATCTTGCCGGTGATGTGCTTGGAGTAGGTGGCGAGGTAGTTGTCAGGAGGGAGGGTGATCTTGCAGTTGTCGCCGAGGTGGACGGCGAAGTCGCCGGAGGTGGTGTTGATGGTGTAGCCGACGACGTTGGTGGGGAGGAGGCCGACGGGGAAGCCGTAGTTGGTGAGCTCCGCGTGGGCGGTTTGCGGTGGCGACTTTGACGATGAGTTAGAGTTAGAGTTAGAGTTAGGGTTAGGGTTTGAAGAGGAGAGAGGGAAGATGATGAGGAGAGAGAGAGAAAGGATGAGGAAAGGTTTAGCCATGGTCTGCGCAACGTGGACTCAGAGAGGTGAAACTTGGAAGAGAGAGAGAGAGAGAGAGAGAGAGAGAGAGAATAGTAATCGGGTAAACGTTGGTTGGGGGGAATATGAAGGAGACAATTACTCGTTTTATAATATTTTATTTATTTTAATGAGTTAATTAATATGATAAGGTCTTATTTGTCATAATTTTAAAAAAAAATAAATTAAAAAGTTACTATCTTATTTAAGTCACATCACTTCTCTATCACATCATTTCAATCCAACTCATATTTCATAAAAATTCAAAAAATACACTTAGATCATACCAAACCACACCTAACAAAATTTTTATAAGCTAGTAATATTTGGAAAATATTGAAAGACTTTTTATGATGCGTTTGGGATGTGAGTTGACTTTTTGTCTATTTTAACTTAGAATTAAAAAGTCTCGTTTGAAACAGATTTTTTGGCTTTTTTAATTTTTGTAAAAAAAAATAAAATAATTATAGATTAGATGCGATATTCTATTCTATCTAACTAAAATAATCTATTTTGTCGTATATGATTATTTTGGTCCAAATACTCATCCCAAACCAAGGCTATTTTAGTTTATATGTATAAATATATAAAATAAATAATAACGTTAGGGTACATAAATAAAAAATTAATTAAATAAAATAAAAAATACATATTTTTATACTTTAACTAATCAAAAATAAAGGATAGCATTAAAATTGTGGGTTTGGATTTTAGGTCTAATTTATTATGGGGTCAATTATTTGGTTGGGGCTTTAGTCTCATTTAGGAATAAATTATTTTAATAATTTTTTTAAAAAAAGATATGTAGAAAAATAAAGAAAGTGATGTAACAATTTATAATGATTTTTCAACTAAAATATGTAGTTGCAAAACGAACAAAAATTTTATTAGACTATAAATTTCATATATGTTAAATTGTTGTATGTTAGGGGATGTGAGATAGAAATAGTAAAATTGCAATTCTATGGGGATTAAGTTATAAAATAACACATTTGTCCTTTATTTGATTTCATATATTGTATTTAGTAAAGGAAAATTTATGTGAAAGTCCCGTCTCAAAATCTTGCATACTCATAAGTCATTTTTTTCGGTTAGGGAGGGGCTGGCTTCCCTCTAGTCCGTGATTAGATTGGAGGGTACTATTAGGCCTGTGAGGGCCCACCACGAGTCTTGTTTTAATAATCTGAATCGTTCAATGTGTAAAACACGTCGAGTACTATATGGTTACAAAAAATATGTTGATCGGATATTGATAGCTACGTGATCAAATCAACTTTGTATAAAAAAAAAAGAAGATGAAAAAAAAAATGGTTGACAGAAATCTGATCCGATGAGATAGCTATCGATATCTGATTAACGTGATTTTTTATAAACGTATAGTACTCGATGAATTCTACATATTGAATGGTTCGGATTATCAAAACAAGATCCGTGGTGGACCCCTACGGGCACAACAGTACCCTCCAGTCTTGTGACGGCCCAAAATAAATACAATGTATCCATCTTCTAACAACAAATAAATAGCAACATAACTAAAATGATAAGCCTTCATTAATTAGAGTTTAATATACAAAAGGTGACACATACGATATACATTCATAAATAGTACATCATGAATCTACAACATGTGTTACAAGATAGTGAAAGGAAATGAAAGCTAAACAGATAACCATATGCCCTAATGGCTTATATCTTTCCAAGTCAATGCTTGGGTACATTAAAAGTGAGTCTTAAACTCAATACAAATAAAGCCCTAAGTTTGTACAAAAATTAAATACAAAATAATAACAATGAGTCTTCCGCTCCATAGTCTTCCCAAGCTAAGTCCTTGGTGGAGACATATTATCAGCACCTAAAATGTTTTTCCCACATAGGGTGAGCCAAAGCCAAGTAGAAGTAATCCAACACAATAAATGAATCTTAACAATGTTACAAGGTGGATTCATATGCAATACTTGTGCCAAAATACTTTTATATCTGTTTCCAAAACCATGCAATGCCATAATAATGTCATGGCTCATAAATCATTTCATTTATAACAGATAATAGGACAGTGAATCACACTCTAAGAATTTCAAACAATACAATCTTTCTTGAAAATTTCGTTCGGAGGAAACCATAAACCGGGACCTATGTAAATGTAGGCTATACAACCATAAACTAGAATTCACACTTTTCGAATTTAGCATACAATTTGTAGGCTCTAAGAAACTCACCTACAACTTGCAGGAGTTCTTCGTGTTCTTCCTCGGAGGGTGAGTAAATTAAGATGTCGTCGACAAAGACAACTACAAAACGGTCTAAAAATTCAAGAAAGATCTGATTCATCAAATCCATAAACACGACTGGTGTGTTGGTTAGCTCAAAAGGCATCACTAGGAATTCATAATGGCCATACCGCATACGAAATGTCATCTTTTGGATATTTTCCTCCCTTACCCTCAACTGGTGATAACCCGATCTTAGGTCTATCTTAGAAAAACAACAAGACTCTTTCAACTGATCAAACAAATCATCTATGCGTGGCATTGGGTAGTTGTTCTTAACAGTTACTCGGTTCAACTTTCGGTAATCAATACAAAGTCGTAATGCACCATCTTACTTCTTGTCAAAGAGAGCCCGTGCTCCCAAGACGAAGTACTAGGGCGAATAAAACCCTTATCTAGAAATTCTTGGAGTTGAATCTTCAACTCACTCAACTCGGCGGGTGCAAACCTATATGGTGCCACAGAAATCGGTGTCGTGCCAAGCATTAAGTCAATAGAGAACTCAATCTCGTGATAAGGTGGTAAACTAGTGAGATCCTCAGGAAAAACATCCGAGTATTCAAAAACTACCTTTGGCAAATCAACTCGGACTTCGTCACACTCACTACCCAATAACTTTGCAAGAAGATAACTAAACTCACTCCACCCTCGCGGATCACACACTAGAGATAAAGCTCTATCGGCTCTATCTTTCATGAAATAAAAACAATCATCGCTCAAGGTATATACAGTAACCCTCTAACAGTAACAATCTATGACAGCCCGATACGATGACAACCAGTCCATACCCAATATAGCATCAAAACTCGACATGTTAATTAACACAAATGCAAAAGGAAGTCGGCGGTTAGCAACCTCTATCTTACAACCTTGACACCCCTATTCCAAAACAATCTCACCACCAACATGTGACTCTACATTGAGTGGAGATGTTAACCAAGCCTATTCTAACCCCAATGCCAATGCAAATGCAGATGAAATGAATGAATGGGATGCACCCGTATCAATTAACACATTGGCAATAGAATTGCATAACAAGAAAGTACATCTCACAATTGAAGGTGCTGGCATTAAGTCTGGCGTGGTAACAGCAAACACACACCCTGTAGGTCTCTGCTCCATCTGCTCACCTCTTGGAACATAAGTCTGATGCACTGATTAAATCGGAGATGCTCCCTGATTGGCTCTCGAGGCCTGTGCTGATTGTGCAGGTTGGTGGCTCTGTGCCTACCTCGAACTAGACGCACCAGATGTGCCCCATAACTGAGGGCAAAACCTCTTCATATGCCTTGATTGCCCACACTGGTAACAAGTAGGCAGATGCCCTCTTTTCTCTGAGAATGAGCCGCATGTGGTGCAGACTATTGTCCTCTTCCTCTTTGCGGGCAAGTTGGAGACTTGTGACCCAATTGGCTACACTTGTAACAAGAGAAACCTCCTGGATTACCTCTCCCAGAACACGAACTTGGCACAGGAAAGATGGACCTAGACTGTACTTTCTAAGACCGCTGTGGGGTGGGACCCCTTTGCCTCTTACTGTCCTGACTTTCCCCCTAAACCTGTTGACTCATCCTGGAGACCCTCATCCGTTCTTCCTCTACTTGAACTACGATCTCAAGTTGAGCCGCCACCTCTACAAGGCGTCCGTAGTCCTTAATCATCAACCCAGCTACCTTGAAAAGAAGCCCGGCCCTCAACATCTTCTTGAACTCAATACAATGACGTTCCTCTGTCACCACGAGTTTTGGTGCAAATCTAGAGAAGCTTGCAAAAGCTGCCTCGAACTCGGTTACTGGTAAGCTAAGCTACTTGAGCATCAGGAACTAATCTCTCAACTTATTTCTAGCAATGGGAGGTAAGAACTTGTCTTGGAAGGCATTGACAAAAGCCTCCCAAGTCACTCCAATGCACCCATGCGCATACTTTCACCATTGACCCGCATCTTCCTTCATCTGGAAGGATGCCAAGGTCACCCTCAATCTATCGTCTTCGATGCCAAGTATCTCTAATGTCTTCACCATCTATTTGAGCCACTCATCCGCTTTCAAAGACTCTTTAGGATCACCCAAAAACTCGTCCAGATTATAGCTGAAGAACTCCCTCTTCAAGAAAGACGACCATACTTCAACAACTTGGGCCTGGACTCTATTCTCACCCTTGAGAATGTCCATAGATTCCCGTAAAGCTCCGACCATCTCATGGGCCAAAGCACCCATGGCCTGTTGGCCAACTGGTTCGACCACATTGGCCTAACTAACCCCTTCCTCTTACACCGGAATTTCATCATGTACACTTCATGCCTTCGAGGCCTACCACGCCTACCACCACCACGTCCACATCCTGACATCCTAATGAAGGTAACAAAAGAGATTAGCACATT